CCCAAACCATTCTATGATTCTGTAACTTAAATAACTTACAGATGTCAGATAAGTCTCAGATGTTTGGGAAGCCAGCGCGTAACATATGTTGACCTTTGTTAAGGAAAGAAAAGGCTGGGATTGTTTAAAAGCACCCCAGAAGATATTTTTTAAGAGACATAATTTAGGCTGACGACTTCTGCTTATCATAGTAAAAGAGAAAAATGCAAATCTGAGTTTTCTTTTTTTAATGGTTCATCTTCTCCATAATTTTTGTAATGTGCTCTTGTTTTGTTTTGCTTATAAGGTGAAACTGTATCACTAAAAATCTTAAGCTATGTTACTTGTAATCAGGTCCTTAAGAAGTTAGCAAATATTTTTGTAGCAATGGAGGCTGATACCTTTTGCACTTCAGGATTAATGTTGATATTTTAATTGATTTTACAGTAATAGATGTATTTTACTATTTAGACAGTTGTATATTATTATTTAAGTAATTATGTTCATGGAATGATTTTAAGTCAATTTTCATGTGATGACTTAGACCACTTCCTGATGAACCCAAACACATTAAATGTAAATTAAAAGGACCAAACACTCTGCAGATGGGTGAGGAACTACAAAGTGAAATCGGTGAGTATTTGCATATTCCTCAGTTTCATGTAAGATCCATTTCTTTGCAGTTTGTTAGCCTCTTATGTATATAGATGTCATCAAGAGTGAATTATCTTCAACTATTTTTGTATTAAAAACAGGTTTACATTCTCGTTCATGGAAGGATGATGAGACTTCTCTAATTGCCATTTTATAATTTTTATCATTCTGGAGTTCATAATTTTTTGTTTAGTTCATGTATTACGAAATCCTACAGAACATAACAGCATTCAGACTATTTTGAAGGCACAAAATTCAAAGTGAAACATTTTAAGGTTAACTTTAACTTGAAAGTATGTCAGGGATAAGTCTTCTCATCTTCAGTTTCTCTATGCAGTTCTGCATAGCATAGTAAGAAATATAAAATTTTTACAATGTTCTGGGACATGAAAAGCTTGTGTGTGAACAGAGAGAAGCTCATAATGGACAAACTAACAGGTTGAAACAGCTTTTCATTTTAAGATTTTTTTTTTTCTTTTTATAGCAAAATATAGCTAAAAAAAATGTGGGAAGCACAAATATGTGATATGACTGTATTATATATATCCTTTTGATACCCACAAGATAGGGGAAATCTTACCAACATATATAAATACCTGAAAAGAGGTATGATGTAAAGACAATGGAGCCTCTTCCTGGTGGTGTTCTCTGACAGGAAAAGAGGCAGCGAGCACAACCTGAAACACAGGAGATTTCCTCCAAACATAAGTAAATACTTTTTCACTGGGAGGGTGACTGAGCATTGTTGCACTCAGAGATTGCAGAGCCTCCATCCTCGGAGATACTCAGAAGTTGTCTGGACATGATCCGGGGCAACCAGCTCTAGTTGGACCTGCTTGAGCAGGGAAGTTGGGCAGATGACCTCCAGAGGTCCCTTCAAGCTCAGCCACTCTGTAATTCAGTGATACTCATGTAAATTTTCTCTGAATTGTATGTTGTGTACGTTATATTCCACATGTATAATGTTTTATTAAAAGAGCTGCTCGGCTAATCATCTTAATAATCATTTTAATCATAATTTTTTTTAACAGAGGTAATGCTTACAGATCAGTATGGAAATCAGGTTCAGTCAGCAACATCTGCATGTGTGAATTCCCTAGGCGTTTCTGCACCTGGACTTGATAAATCAAATTTGAAAATAATTTGGCAGGTATTTATAAGATGTCATGTAGTTTATTTCTGTGTGATCTTTGTGTGGTAATTGTCGCAATTCTGTCACACATAATTAAACCGAAACTGTGGAAAAGTGGTCAAATTGAACACTAGTTGGTAGGCTGTGAGAAGACAGAGAATTAAAGCATTAAAATCATATAATCCTGTTCTATGGAATACAGCAGCGTCTGTTGAAAAACTTATCACTGCTACAACTATAGAGTATGGGGGGCAATTCACTTTGCGTTTGAGTTTCTAGTGCAGTGTTCTACGTCTTTTCTTCTAACTTATTTTTAGTCTTCTGTGTCTATGGTGGTACAGTTGATTTCATGATCTTTTGAAGAACCTTCTAGAACAGACTAGTGGTACTATCTGTCACAGTTTAATTTAAAATGCATACTATACCTTTTAAAATATGTTGATATAGCTAAGTTGTGCGTAACTCTTGTACATTGAAAAACGGGTTCCTGAGAAGTGCTTGAGTTTGACATTTCTTAGAGATTTAAATCTAACAAAAGCAATAGAACTTGTAGTTTAATTTTTAGTCTACCGTCTCACAGTAAAACTAGCAAGCATAAATATTAAAATACTATATTGAAAAAATGAACAAATTATACTTCCCTTTAACTGTTCTTGATAAAATCTTCTTATTTCTTGATAGGAAAATACTCTAACAATGAAAATACAAGGTATTCGGTTTAAACCTTGTTTACTTGGAAGCAAAGAATTGTGCTTCGCTTGGCGTGAATTTTCTGACTTTCTCAGACTAAACTTAACTGCAGGATCCCCTGCTAAGGTGCAGTTTGTGGGATGGCCAGAGTTAGAAAAGGTAAGTTGAACAATTTTGGTTTGGGAAAAAAACAAAACAACAAGGTCACTACCTAGCAGGTCTTTTATTTCCAGAGCTTTCTAGAGCACAAAATGCAAAGTGGAAAACCGTGATATCTTAGTATTGATACTTCTAAAAATTGTCAGAATATGATAGCTCTAGAGACAGTTTTTTCTTCAATACAGGACTACGTAACACAAGCAAAATTATGTATTTTGCAATCTAATTATATAGATGTGTTTTAAATGGACTGTAGGTGTGAAACATTTTTCATACAATAGCTGACTACATTATATCATATATTCTATTCATATAATAGCTAACAACATTGATTTTGAAATGTAAACTTATTTTGCAGTAATCTAACTCTCACGTACTTACAGCACTGTATTCCTTAATATCTCTTATTGTTTATTCTGTCCCACTTGCCCTTGTACAGATTATGTAGTTTTCTTTGGTGCAGCAATTTTACTGTGGGTTGGATCCTAGCACCCATGTCCCCTTGTCCTTATACTGTCCTTAATGGTATTAATAGTTGACAGCCCAACTCCCCTTTCTCTGTTAGTGGGGTTTTTTGATGTTTAGGATGTAGGAAGTCACTCCCAAATTTACTTAAGTTTTTTTTACTTAAGTTTAAGTATTTAAAGTCAGAAAGTGCAAAGGAAGTACAGTACTTCTTGGTACAGAGCTTTTTGTTGCCATCCCATTTATTTGCTCAGCTTTTGTTTTGGTTTTCAATGTTTACTTTGGATATTCAAATGATAGTGCTGGAGTTGCAGCTGAATGCAAAATAGGAGAGTGGAAGCAGGTAAAAGAAAACTGGATCTCTTAAGTAGAGAATAGGAATAAAGATTGGCATGTTGGGAAAATGGAGAAAGAACTTACTGAAGAAGAAAAGTGAAACAAAAGGTTCAGGGAGTAACGTAACTACTTTTGCTCTCTAGAAAGCTGTGAAGGTATGTCAGAAGATAAAAGTTTTGGGTCATTTGCTCTTTCTACAACAAGGAAACTGCTAAGTCTTTTTTGAAGCATGTCTTTCCTTTTAGTCGCATGCAGTTCAATTCAACTAGTGCATTTTATAATGACAAGAGAATGTAAATGGGAAAACTCTAAAAATACATTCCTGGAGTTTTACAGTTCTGTTATGGTCTGACTGTTGTAAAAGACAAATAGTATGGAAAACGTGCACCCTATTGCTCCCGGGATTCCTGACCTGCCATGAATGTGTGATGTACCTAGAACAGAATAGTATAATGTATTTGTATTTCCTTCAGCCTGTTGCAGTGATTAATGGTAGAGAATTGCAGAAGCCCCTTATTGTTCAGCTGTGTGATCAGTGGGGAAATCCAACTCCTGAACCTAATGTCAAAATCAGCCTTATAAAGGGCAACAACATAAAGGTAAGCATAGAGCTTATTATCTGAGGTTTGTTTAACACATTTTTGTTTTCATGTCTACATTATCTTCATTTTCAAGAAATTTTTTTGAAAAGTGATTAGAATATTGTAAAGGCACAAAAGAATAATTAATCCCATATAATAGTAGTGTCAATGAGTAATGTAAACAGTTCCCAGGACAGCTCCCTTTCATTATAACAATCACAAATATAACTAAAGTATGATGTCCAAGTGTAATTAGTATACATTCTACTGAACCTTTTTCAAAATTCTGCATGCACACAACCCCATCCTATCTCCCATTTTGTCCGAGGTAATATACTGATTAACAATCATGATGATGTGGCCCAAACTGGCCAACAAATCTTTTTTGTCTGGTGGTTCTTTGATTGTGGTTCCTGAATGTATGACTTGTGGTCTGTATATAAAGCTAGTCAGCAGGTTTGATCCCTACTTGATTGTCCCATGAAAAGCGTTGGCAGTATGAACCAAATTAAAACAGTGAGGGTGCAAATCTAACCCAAATTTAAGTGGTTATTGACCTTTCCATGAGTGAGATGTGAGTGTCAGATGGTCTGCACATTGGTCTGTACAAAGAAAGGAATTCAACAGAATACTTCATTCATTAAAATTCTTGTTCTTGTTCTTGAAAAAAAATAGTCAAACTGTAAAATGTTCCTAACTGTTCATGCAGAGATTCTTATATTGCGTGGTACATTATCAAGAATATATTCATCCACCTCTGGACATGCCATTTTTTCATGTAGGTTTGGTCTTGTTCCCTTTTTGTTCCTACTTGCCATGCGTTTGTGTCTCTCTGTTCCCTTGCAACACACAGCAGCTAAGAACTTTCTTTTGCTCACGCCTCAAGCACTGCCATAATCTCCCAATCAATTTCCCCAGTTTTAACTGTGCTACTATTACTTATTTTTATTGCCTTTTTGTTTGTTTGCCCCAACTACTGCCTTTATGATGGCAACTGCAGCTTCTTGGGGCTTTTTGTTAGGTTGTTCTTGAGCAAACATCCAACCTTGACAGTAATACTGAGTGGTAGTTCTGCCCGATCAAAGACATGTGGTGGCATGCTGTGTCTTTTCAACTGTTATGCCTTCCTCCAGGGAAGACCAGCAGCATGTCTTAGAACTTAGTGCCGGTATAATTTCTAAGAGTTACTTTCATACTTTAGGACAACCAACTGCGTATTTGCTGAGCAGACATCAGATCAAAATTCATGCTGATCTTGAGAGCTCTTTAGAGAACTGTCTTGCCTTACCAATTCGAATAGGTTGCATGCACAGTCTCCCAAAGGAAATGAAAATCTTCTGGGAACTGAAATTCTCAGATAATCTGTCTGTGTATGCTTCACATCCCCTTCTCTAAGTCTCCTAAGCCTTCTGTGGTTGCAGCATGCATTTCATATACTCCATTCTCTAGCTTACAGGTCCAAAACTAGATGAACATGGCTGAGGAGAAACCCTCTGAACCTTTATGTTCAGTAAAACAGCTCAGTAGTGGAAATGCACAAAGCACAGGTTTCTGTAAAAATTTAAACTTTCCATTGTGTAATGTACAGTAATTTCAATTATAGACTTACTGTATTGAGTTGAATATACTCTTCAAAAGAGTGTGTGAACTTTCTGGCAACCTTCTTAGTGTATCTTTACAATGCTGCCTTCCATTTGAACCATTAAGCACATAGTTTTTGCCATTGCTGTTTTCTAGTGAGATAGTAAATTTATGCTCCCATAGCTGATCCATTATGAATCAACTTTCAAATTTTTATTTTCTTTCCTAAAATAGTTTCATTCTTGTAACTTACTGACATGAGGTTTGGAAAAGAAAATAATTTGGAAGAAAATTGCCTACTTCAAATATTCCAAAACCACTGTTTTTGCGTAAGTGGTCACTAGACACTTACTGTGTGCTGAAATAGCAAAGGGAAAGCAATTTAATGCCAGACACTGTTCAGAAAATGGCAGACATTTGCACCACATTTTTGAGTTATATCATCAATGAAAAAGTTGATGCCCCTCATTAGAGAGGAATTTTTTACAGAAGAACTCAGAATATGTCCATGGCTTCCTTTGCTGTCTTCCAAACTTAAAAGCTACATATTAATGAACAAAAATATCCTAGTTCAAAAATGGACAGGGAGAATTCTGAAACCTCTTAATATCGTACTCATAACAGTGTATCTTCCCCTAATTGCAATAATACAAAGAAGATATTGCTCAAATGAAAGCGGTATGCAGGGAAATGAGGTATACATTTTGTTCTAAGACTTGATACTACTTCTGTGTCATTGAAAGAATAAAAATTTTTTTTGACAGATTGTTTCTTCAAACCAGCACCATAAAACAGATGAAACTGGTAGGGCTAACCTGGGAGTTATTTGTATTCATGCACCTAGGTAAGTAGTGAAAACTACATGGAAAAAAAATCGAATGCTGGAATGTTGCTTGCTAGATGTTTTTAAGGTGTGCATTTCACGAAGTACCTACCTGCATTAGTTTAGAGCTAAGGTCAAACATTTATTATTTATATGCTGGTGGAAGGCCAGATAGTGAGATGTAAGAAATTAAGTATTTAACTAAATAAATTAAATAGCTGCTTCTTTTGGTCATGTGAGAAGCTGCTGTTCTAATTTTCCAAATCCTGTTTTTTCTGGTCATAGTGCAATACAGCTTATAATTGTCAGCCTGTATCTAGTGTAGATGGTGTCATAAACTGCTTAAAATATGTGAAATGTGCAGACTTTGGGTGACCAGATCCAGTCGCTGTACTTTCAAAGTAGGAACACATTTTAGGAGTGTTGAAACCCCACTTCTCTGGATCCTAGCCATTGTTTTAAAGGATTAGGTAAAGTGTCCGAAAGAGTTTTTAATATATTTATTTTTTCTTATTTGCAATAAAACTGATGAAGTCTCATTGCCTGCAAATGTCTGTCCTGTGGCTCCTGCTTCATGTCAGTTACCCTGGCTCCCCTTTCATGTCCCATCTCACTTTAAGAATTCATTATTTCTATATCCTCTTCATGTTCATGGTTTTGCCATCCACTCCCTGTATCCCTGAGCTTTTCTTAGGTTGGCTTTAGGTAGCTTAGAAGCTAGCAATAAGTGCTTGTTCTTAAACTTCTGAAGCATTTCATGGCAGTTGGTATTTTTGCATTCATATCTGCAGGATTCGACCCATAATGCTAGTTCTATTTGGAAGAAAGTTTATTTGAAATGCTATTGATGGTGCTTAGTGTATTCATAATACCCCATCTTCATAGGAGGATGGTGAATATTAGCAGTCAATGTACTACTGGAGAAACAGGTGTGCTCAGTGGTAACATCATACTATTTATAGCATAGCATCATAAAATGGTTTGAACTGGAAGGGACCTTAAGATCATCTAGTTCCAACCCCCTGCCATGGGCAGGGACACTTTCCCCTAGACCAGGTTGCTCAAAGCCCCGTCCAACCTGGCCTTGAACACTGCCAGGGATGGGGCAGCCACAGCTTCTCTGGGCAACCTGTGCCAGTGTCTCATGACCCTCAGAGTGAAGAATTCTTTTCCTAATATTTAATCTAAATCTACCCTCTGTCAGTTTAAAGCCATTACCCCTTGTTCTGTCACTCCATGCCCTTGTCAAAAGCCCCTCTCCAGTTTTCTTGTCAGCCCCTTCAGGCACTGGAAGCTGCTTTAAGGTCTCCCTGGAGCCTTCTTTTCTCTGGGCTGAACAAGCCCAACTCTCTCAGCCTGTGTTCGCAGGAGAGGTGCTCCAGCCCTCGTAGCATCTTTGTGGCCTCCTCTGGGCTCGCTCAAGCAGATAGACCTTATATAGACCTAGTAACTACCTGGTGATGTAGCCCTAATAACCCATGTTTATTTTTAATCAGAGTATTGAAGTAATAATTCAGTTTGGGACAGAGTGATAAAAGTTCCCTCTTCTGATGGCTGGCAGATTCATTGCTTTTAATCAAAAGCATAACCAAAACTGGGGAGTACAGCCGCTCTGCAGTGAAACGCTATGTTCACAGTTCTGTTTAAAATCTTAAATTTCAAGTTTTTAATACAGTAAAGAAAATGAGTTGTTCTGTAGTGAAATCACTTAATACTTGCAATACACTTTGCCAGATGTGAGTTGTAAGTGCAGATTCACTGTTTGGAAATTGACAAAGCAGAATGCTCCTCAGGCAGCATTTTAATTAGCTGTGCTTGCTTTCCACTTTACTGTCTTCTGCAACTTAAAGCTGTAGTTACTAGATCAAGCTAATGAAATATTAAAGCAGAATTAAATTTAATAAGCTAATATCTTAAACTTAGGATTTTACTTGTCTAACTTTACATTAACACTTCCATTTTTTTCTTCCCTTTACTACTAATAACTTTTAGATATTTATTTATCATGCTTTCATGTACATGGTTCAGACTTGAAGTCTGTTAAAAATTGTCCTTTCAGAAGAGGTATTTTATAACAGTTTTTATGATTTCTGTATATTTCAGAGGAGAGCACACTTTACAGCTTAAAGCCATATACAACAAGACCACATTAGATTGTCCTATAATCACATTAAATGTGCTGCCTGATCCTGAGAAGCCTGTCTGCTTGAATGTTAAATATGACAAAAATGCTTCTTTTCAAGCAGGTGGTACCTTCCCTGGTAAGTATAAGGATACTTTGGTAGAAAGCAATCATGCAAGAGCTTCGTAAACCTTTGAAAACCTATTTCGATGATTCTCCTCATGTATTTTCTTACTTTTTTTTTCAGTCTGTTTTGTCTCAGTTCTTTGTAACAGCTGTGTCTGAGATGCCTCTGTAACACTCGGAGAAAAAGATATATACATCATATTTGGAAAGCATTTCAAATTACCTCTTACTTATTTGTTCCAAGTCAGTGGCTTTATTTGTCTATTAATGGTAAAGCTACAGAATATATTCTCTGTCCTTAGTGTAATCCAAATTGCTGATTCTGATTTTTTGGTCTTCCAAAATGATGATCTGAGCTAGTTCATTCATGTTTTTCCTTGCCTCGTTTTCTGTGGAATAATGACAGGAGAGGTAGCTATGAAATTACAAGTGAACTGTGAGCCAAGAGGAACCAAAAAGTGATCAGAAGTAAGCTGGGAACAGTACAAAATACCATTCTCTCTTGCTGTATGTTCTCACAAAAGGATGATCTTCACTTTCTAACTAAGGCTGCTGAGTCATTAAAGAAAAAAATGTGTCATGTTTTCTATCCCAGTAGTATTCACAATAAAGAAAGCAGATAAAGAGCAACAAGTTATGACCGTGAGGAGATGTCTTTTGTGAAAAGCAGAAGAGAATTTGAAATCTCTGCCTTTTTCATATAAGGAAACTTTGGCATGAATAAGAGACTTGTGCTAACTAATTGTGTTAATTCAGGAAATAAATAGTCTTTACAATATGGTTCTTGAATTTGCCAATGAATGCCAATGAAGCACACAATTTTCTTCTAGGAAATTTTCCTGTTTAATTTGCAATAACGCGGTTTGCACTCTGAAACCATGATACAATGACATTCTTCAGAAAACTGAAGTCCTGTCTAAATAAGTGAAGTATAAAGCATGTAGATTCTGTCACTTAAAAGATAATACTTCCTTAAGGTAGGCAAAAAAACCCAAACTTCAGTAACAATTTAGTGAAATTTAAAATAACTAAAAGAACTTCTAGACCTATTTGATGACCTGAATGCTAACAAATTTCCTATACTGGATGGTATTCACTTAAGAATTATAAATTAATTTACACATGGAATTGCTAAGTTACTAATTGAAATGCTAGTGCTATTTAATTTGGCCTTTATTTGTAAGGAATAAGTTAAGGTGGCAAACTGATGCAGTTTCCAGAAAGTTTCAGGGGGCTTAGGGAAACTTTCGATCAGTGTATGCGTTTTCAGTACTGGGCAGTTACTGGAAGGAATATAAAGAATATAATTAAGTCAGTACGTAGATAAATGTAGAAATTGGAGCAGGTTGGGAACTACATGGCTTTTGTACAGGAAATTGGTGCCTTGCAAATGTCTTTGAAGGAGTTGACAACTGTGTGAATGTGAGTGATCCTGCTGATGCGGAGTACTTGGTTTCTTAGAGAGCTTTTGGCAAGTTCCTAGAATCATCGAATGATTTGGGTTGAAAGAGACGTTAAAGATCATCCAGTTCCAATCCCCTGCTGTGGGCAGGGACACCTTCCACTAGACTAGGTTGACATTGCCCATTGTCCTATCACTACAGGCCCTTGTAAAAAGTCCCTCTACAGCTTTCTCATAGGCCCCCTTTAAGTGCTGGAAGCTGCTCTAAGATCTCCCCAGAGCCTTGTCTTCTCTAGGCTGAACAATCCCAATCTTCTCAGCCTGTCTTCACAGGTGAGGTGCTCCAGCCCTATCATCATTCTCATAGCCCTTCTCTAGACTTGTTCTAACAGGTCAATGTCTGTCTTGTGTTGGGGGCCCCTGAGCTGGGCACAGTATTGCAGGTGGGGGAGGGGGTCTCGTGTGAGTGGAGTAGGAGTAAGAATTGCCTCCCTCGACCTGCTGGCCACACTTCTTTTGATAAGTGAACTTGGTTCCAAAGGCTCTTTTAGTAACCTGTTACAGGCCACCTCCTTCCTATACTTCAGTCTTTCCCTTGCTTAGGTGGACTTAAAACAAAAAAAAATTGTTTATCTAAGGAGTGTTTTCAGTTGTGTTGCTGTTTCACAGTTTGACTGCAGTGCAGGCACCTGAATTTTTCTCACCTGTTCTCTGTACTCCTTTGTAAATATTTCTGGAGTCCCAGATGATAAACATGCCTCAAAGATGACAAGATCAGAAAATCTCCTTTACCCAAAACTTTTTGATGTATCCCAAGCGTGTATGAAATAACTACAACATCTGTTCAAAATTCAGAACAAAAACTCCTTGTACTACTTGGAGTTGAGAATCCAAGTATCTCCCACAAACACAAGGTCTGTGGTTTGGGGGCTTGTTTCTTGACCAACAGAAGTTTATATTCAAAGATAAAAATTGTGCTGTCTTAACTTGATGAGCCAACGTTTTTATGGGAAAAGGCTTTTGTTCTTCAAAGTACTCCATACAATGTTATCAGCTTGACTAAACTCGCAAGTTATTTTAGTTTTGCCTAGATGAGGCATACTAGAGAACCGTAGAATCACACAGTGGTTTGAGTTGGAAGGGACCTGTAAAGATCATCTAGCTCCAACCTCCCAGTGAAATAGATCTTTATAAAATATAGTGTATACTGTGTTTTGAGAGGAGTAGAATTAAACAGCTTCTTCAGGAGATAACATAATATATATGACACTGAATTTTTATATAAAATTAGATATTAAATTACTTATAAACATCCTCATATTTAATTAACATCCTTATTATTGGATTTACTGGTGAACTCAGGTACACCTGAGGACAGGCAGTGTAATCTTGGCGGAAGTCATGCCTGAATTTTTCCATTCACAGCAAAGCACAGTCCTTCCTTAAAATGCAAAATTCAGTTCTGCATGAGCAGTGCGGCTTCAGTTACATGCATGAAATCCACCTGTAACCATTGTGTCAAAGTGCTTAGTTCACATATTCAGCTAGAAGGGGAGCATTATTCTAGTTTGGATTCCATTTCCTTCAGACCACTAAACTTCTTATGGAGTATATAGGAAAAGCTATATTTTTCAGATTGGTGTATAAAACGGTAAGTTTTTTGACAGCAGAACCAGTCAACAGCAAATGGAGAAGTGAAATGTGCCTCTGTATCCTACTTCTATTAGATTTAAATACGTGATAGTAGTCTGTAAAAAGTAGCCAAACTTAGCTTCAGACTCATGGCCTGAGTCCCTCTTTTTATTACAATGTGGGTAATGGATGGGGAAAATAGTAGTCGTGTTGTTACAGCTACTGCAGCTTGCTAGCCAGTTAGTTCAATGACTAAAGCACTTGTGAAGGAAGAGGGAGATACAGATTTCCTGTCTGAAGGAAGCAGTCAACTACTTAACTAGCTAATGATTGTTCTTTCCTGAAAGCAAGAAGCCTGGCTTGCTATTTTGGTGAGAATGATAATCCGGGAAAAGTAGACTTGAAATCTGAGGGTTTTTTAAAGCACTCATTGGATAAAGTAAGTGGTTTCTTTTCTAAGGGTAGGTAGTTACCTGGTCTAATTACAGGGCTAGAGAGAGAAGGTTTTCCATATCTGTTTTTTAATTTTTTGTTGCTTGTGTTCTGTTTGGAATGCGAGTTTTGTGTGTTTTTCCTTCAGGTATGAGGGAGACAACAGAAATCCATGGACTTTGATCTTTTTAATTCTGATCAAAAATAATTTTGAAAATGTTGGGTTTCATTCTACAGATTTTATGGTTAGTGTTCTTTCTGAAGATGACAACATTATTAAAAATATTAATCCAGCACGAATTTCTATGAAAATGTGGGAGGCACAGAGCATTGGAACTAGGATGCCAATTGATGTAAGTGATTAAATGCATTTTCAAAATGGCTATGAAAATGCCAGCATAGGACAAACTAATAATAGAAACTTCCCTTTGTTTAATTTACATCAGTATATTGTTCTAGATTTTAAATAACAAGTATTACATATAGGTCATATTTGTTTATGTGTCCAGATACAAGTTGTCAGACTGGTCAAATGTCAAAGCTATAGTAAGGACAAAAATGCACTCTGCAGAAGCTAATTAGTAACAGGGAGACTATTAAAAGTTGACACCATGAATCTTGCAAAGAAGAGTCCAAGAATTAAGAATATGAAACTAACACGTAAATTATAGGTGATCTGATTTAATTACTGTATGCTATCAGTACTGCAAATCATTAAGACTTAAAGTACTTTAACTTTCAGTATATGGCATTAAATATTTTTTCATCTTTTCAGGTTACAGTATTTAGCTGTAGTAAAGTGAAGGATGACAAGGAAGATGGCTTCTTCTACTTCAGGTATAGCAGCATTCATTTTATAATTTTTTATGCAACTTACTGTACAAAATTCATAGTTTGAAATAGAAACGAGCTTTAAGTTTTGATAATAAATCATTACAGAATTAGTATGATACAGTCCTACAAAATGTTAACAGATACTAGCAAGATGCATTGAACATGAGGATTGAGTTCTTCCCTAAATACATTTGACATTTGTTTAATCTCAGAGAAGAGTCTAATATATTAGAATACATAATGAGAAATGCACGCAATGGAGAGACTACATAATCTACTTGTCACTTGTCTAGTAGCATTCCTTTTCCATGTTACATTCAACTGCTGTAGAATTGCAGGTTAGACAAAGTGGACTTAATCCTGATTTAATATCTTCTGTAGCTGGGTGTTAATGC